GCTTTAGAAACAGCTCCCTCATAGGAGAGGTTGGAGTGTATGTACATGTGGCCCGGGAATAATCCCTGTATTTGTAGGAGACCACATGGTTCAAGTTTCAGAGACATCTTCCCTCCGAAATGTAAAGTTAGGATGCTGACAGTGAATATCCTCACTGGGGATAGTGCCCAGTGACAGAGGTCAGTGGAAGAGCGCTTGCCGGGCATGTGCAAGGCCAGTACAGAAAGGGACAGGAAAGCAAGTAGATTGGACCACTTTTATGTGGTCCAATCCAGAAATTTTATTATGAAGAAAAAAAGCTGAGTATGGTTCACACCTGTGAGCCCAACACTCAGGAGACTGAGGCAGAAGGCACAGGAAGATTTCTGCAAGTTCTAGGCTAGCCTGGGCTATAGAGTGAGAGTCTGTCTTACAAACACCAGCAAAACAAAAAAGTTTTCAGTTTTCAGATTTGTACAAGAACTAACAAAGGTTAAAATTCTAACAGAGCTAGCCCAGTTTGCAGTATATGCACACAGGGGTGACTAAAAGCTGTACATATCTTGGCAAAACTGCTTGGTGGGGCAGTATCAGGTCTAGCATGGAGGATCATGTGGCTGAGTCACTTGCAGTGAAAGTGAGGAATGGTAAAGCAGCTGTCTTCCCAGGCACAGGCCAGAACAGCCCCCACCACCACAGACAAAGTCAGGTTGCAAGAGAAAGCAAGGAAGCACAGCAGGAAGCCAAGCACATGTCCTGTGAGACTGGTCACTCTCCAGTTTCAGAAGTCCTCCAGGCTTGTTACCAGTGTGACCCACTGGTGATGGCTGCTTGCAGAGTTGGGATTCATCTGCTCCCACTCCCCACCTCGGAAGTCCTCTTAGGTGATTATATCAAGGACACAGTAAGGACCCTTGCCTTTTCTCCCCAGGGGCCAGCTCACCTCATGCAGATCCCAGGCACGCATGGTACAGTCTGATGACACAGTACACACCACAGACTTCGCCCCTCCATCAAAGCAGTACTCATTTGGTGAGACGTAGGCCAGCTGATCTATTTGTCCTGGAAGAGAACACAGGCATGGATGGACTGAGATCTGAATATGCAACTTACAGTTCCGTGGCAGCAGGTGGGCACTTCTGAGAGCAGAACCCAGTTATAATGACAAAGCCCCAGCTCCTCTTAAGTTTTCAGACTACTCTAAAAAAAGAGGTTAATGGCTCATTCCTTCCTCCCATGACATAGTACAAATGGAATAGTATCCAACCAGGCCTTTATTCATCAAGCAACATTTGCCAAGCCACTGGCTGAGATGCCAAGTCCCCTAAGCAGAGGGGGGGCAGTGGGAATGGATGCAGCTCCCATCAGACCTGTGTGCCCAGAAATAGCTTTGCAGACAAAGTCCTGTGGTCGCCCAGATTCCACATGGAACTCCAACTCAGACCGGCATAAATAGTACTGTTTCCATGTCTGTGTGCCCAGGACCACTGAGGGGGCCCAGCGTCTCAGGCACAGCTGCCTAGGAAACAGAACCACAGGCCGAGGCAGGATATAGTAGTCATGGATTTTGAACCCAGTAGACTTAGCTTTGAAATGCAGGACAACTCACTGTCCCTACCCAAGCCTCAACTTCCTCCTTTGTAAAATAGGTATAATAACCACAGTGTGCTTTTTTAACATTATCTTCATGGCAGCTCTCTGAAGAAGGATCTCATTGCCATTCCGCACTTGAGGATACATTGATGAATAAACTAGATTCAAGAGCCTACTTTGCAAGCCTCCAACTCTTTCTGTCAAGCTGCCTATCCTTTCACTGTCAGCCCTTTGTATATATTGTTGCTGTAATGATGGGGCATATACAGAGCCTTATCTTCTTGCTAGACTAATATTAGTATGTAACATACTTCAGTACCTATAGTGGCATGCTTGGCCTCCAAGTCTATTCTGTCTGATATCAGTAGCCATTCAGCTCTCTTTGCATTAATATTTGCATAATATATCTTTCCCTACTATTCTGTCAAAATGTCTTTTTAAAAATTTATTTTTTTATGTGTGTTTTGCCTGCATGTATATAAGTACACCTGTATCCTGCAATGCCCATGGATGCCAGAAGATGTTATCAGAACCCCTGGAACTGGAGTTACAGATGGTCGTGAGCCGCCATGTGGGTGCTGGGAAGTGAAGCCAGGTCCTCTGCAAGTGACACCAGTGCTCTTAACCACTGAGCCATCTCTCCAGCCCCATAGTTATGTCTTTTAATCTAAAGTGTGTCTCCAGGATGAGGCATAGCTGTAGCACAATGGTAGCCAAGCATGCACACTGATACTGGGTTTGATCTCCAAACCTACTAACAAAAAACAAAGGGGGAAAAAAAAGTATGTCTCATGTAGACAGCATTAAGGTTGGGCCATTTTTCTTTACCAATTCTGTCAATCTTTGCCTTTTCATTGGCCTGTGCAATTCATATTTTTTATAATTTTGCTATTTTCTTATGCCTTTTCTCTTCCATTCCTTCATTACCATTATCTTTTATGTTAAGTATTTTCTAGTGTACTATTTCAATTGCTTTATCATTTCTCCCACCATATTTTTTTTTTTTTTTTTAGTCTTTAGTGGTTGCCTTAAGAATTATAATTTGTGGGGCTGGAGAAATGGCTCAGCAGTTAAGAGCACTGACTGCTCTTGCAGAGGACCTGGATTCAATTCCCAGCACCTACATGGCAGCTACAAACCATCTTAACTCCAGTTCCAGGGGACTCTGACACCCTCTTCTGACCTCCCAGGCATTGTACAACATGGGTGCATTCACATACATGCAAGCAATAGACTCATACTCATAAAATGAAAATAATAAAAATTTTTTTAAACATAATTTGTATTTTTGATAAATGAAGATTTACTTTTGATTAATACAAAATCAATTTTCAATATTATATAAAACATTTGCTCCTACATTGTTTGTACCGTTATTTGCCATAAATTACATTTTCATACATTGTATGTCCAACAAATGAGATTTTATAAAGCTAGCATGAAGGTGCACACCTGTAGCCCCAGCTCTTGGGAAACCAAGGCAAGAGAACTGTTGAGTCTGAGCCAGCCTGGGCCACACAGTATGTCTGAGCCAGCCTGGGCCACACATTATGTCTGAGCCAGCCTGGGTTGTATATAGAAACACAGCTACGGTGCTATCGGAGTTCAGTGCAAAGAAGATGGACATCTGGAGAGAAACACCTGGTGGACACCTTATGGAGGGCGGCTTTCATCACTCAGAGGGAACCATAGCTAATGTGCATCCTCTGGCTGCTGTCTGGTACTCATTATTTCAGAAAGGGGAGAATGCAGTCAGATAACTGATTCACAGTTCCATTGTTTAAAGACCATTATCACCACAAATGTCTCTACCATCGTAATTTGTACACTCATGGAACACCTACATATTAGACTCAGCGTGTACCAAGTACCTGTACAAAGGACTATAGTGCCCACGTGGGATAAAGGCTCAGTGTACTCTCTGACTCTCTGCTCTACCAGGAAAAGCATCCTGATCAGCCTTGGACAGAAAGGACCACTCACTTATTTTGTTTGGCCTGAAAAGGACTGGCTCACATGAAACAGCTACCAACATTGAAAAATCGTGAGATGTTACACCAGAAAAAGAGGAGAAACAAGAAAAACACAATCATAAGGACCATGACATTCTGTGGATATGAAAAGAACATTTTTCTAATCTCAAAAACAGTATTTCACTCAGGGCACTTTGCTATAAGCAAAGACTCAGGTTGGGATTGGTGCTCCACCCCCTCACACATGCATGCTCTAAGGCTTCGTGAATAGCTACAGTGACCAGTCAGTCCATTCATTCACTCAATTTCTTTAAATATCATGCTTGGTAACACACAATTACCTACAGAAAGTCAATTCTTCAAAGTATAGAGATAAAGGAATTCAAATGAAAGTTCTCTTACTTTAAAACTGACCAAAGAGGTTATTCTAATTAATATAGTGATAAAAGCTAATAAAAAGCAACAAAAATAAACTGAGCACGGTGGCACACACCTTTAATCCCAGCACTCAGGAGGCAGAGCCAGGCAGATCTCTGTGAGTTCAAGGCCAGCCTGGTCTACAGAGTGAGTTCCAGGATAGCTGGGGCTACAGAGAGACCCTGTCTCAAAAAGACCAAAAAAAAAAACCAACATTTAGAGGAATACTGGATGACACTGAAAACTAAAAGTGGTAAGATTCTTTGAAATAACTTAGAATTCTGGACTGTCATAGCTATCTTAAAAATAAAAGGAAGCTGGGCATGATGGGACAATACCTTTAAGCCCGGCACTCAGGAGGCAGAAGCAGGCAGCTCTCTGTGAAATTAAGGCCAGCTTGGTCTACACAACAAGTTCCAGGCTAGCTGGGACTGCAGGAAGACCTTATCTCAAAAACCCAAAATAAGGGCTATAGAGATGGCTCAGCAGTTAAGACCACTGGCTGCTCTCACAGAGAGAGGATCCAGGTTGATTTCCAGCACCCACATGACAAATAAAAACCATCCATAATTCCAGTTCCAGGGGAACCCAAGGTCCTCTTCTGACCTCCAAGGGCACTGCATTTCATGACATGGTACACATATATATATGCAGGCAATACACTCATGTACATAAAATGAAAAAAAAAAACCCAAATAAATAATTTAATTCAATTCAATAAAAGATTTCCTTTGGCTTTTGAAGAATCTTTGTGTTTGAACAGCTGCTTTCCATCAGATGTGGCCAAACTATTGCTCCTAGCCAACAGTCAAGACTGTTCTATATTTAGCAAAAGAGAACTCACAGCTCTGCACCTCCCAACCCCCCACCAGTTTCTGATAGTTTTATCTTGGCACAAAAGAAACTGTGTTTCAAAGGAGCAAGAAATTAGAAAGATTTAGAAATTTAATGATTAAATATTTCTATTTTCAACTGTGATTTTTTTTTTTTCATTTTATGCAATCTAACACACATGCTCTTATTGTTATGCTGTTGAACCATCAAAGTACTTTGACTTGGGCATGGTGACACATGCTTAAAAAGCCAGCACTCAGAAGAAAGAGGCAGAGAATCACAAGTTCAAGGTTAGCCTGGGCTACAAGGCACGTTTAAGGCCACCCTGGCTATATAATGGGCCCTGTTTTCTTTTTTCAAGTAATTTGAGTATACTGGCGGAAACACTCAAGAAATGAATGTAGCTGGTTGAGTCTGGTAATCCTATCCATATCATCTTCTATTTGAAAGTTTCATGCTACTAACCATAAAGGAGTTTCCTGGTACTAAGGACCAGGGATAATTCTCAACACAGCCAGAAATGCAGACAGCACTTGGAAACCACTTCCAGTGCAGGGCCACCCTTAGCTATTTCTTCACTCACCTCCACAGTTCCTTGGTCATTGAAACTTCATTCCAGATCTAGAATAAGGAGGAAAAGAAGACAGTATCTGGTCAATCAATAAGCATATAACACTCTAGCCTATCAATCCCTATGGAGAGGACAAAGAACAAATCAAGCCTCTGTCTCTGCACTCAAGAAAACTCAACCTGGAGCATTAGACAGTAAGACAAAAACCATGAAATGATGAGTAAGAAGAGACTCAGCAGGGTTGATGGGTCAGAAACCAGGGGTCCTACAGAAGTGATTACTAATCTAAAGTTTTAAAGCAAAGGACTAGGAAGACGGCTCAGCAGTAACGAGCATTGGCTATTCTTACAGAGAACGGGGTTTGAGTCCCAGCACCCCATGGTGGCTATAAACAGTTCCTAACTCCAGTTCCAGGGGAATCCAACACCCTCTTCTAACCTCCACAGGTACTGCATGACACGAGTGCACTTTTACCCATGCAGGCAATACACTCATACACATACAATAAAAATGTTTAGAAAAAAATTCTAAAGCAATGTAGGGAAAAACAGACAAAGATTTACAGATGATTCATAATTATGAAAAAAGATAGTTGTGTGACTTATGTCAATCAGAGCATAAGATTCTGGTTGGAGAAAAATGGGAAAAGGAACTGAGTGGCTGGCTTCTACCATTCCCAAAAGTTGTACTGTAAAAATACTGTGAAGCTACTTGAGAATTTTGAGTGGCAAGGTCAACTATGTCTAAGGAGGAGCACTGTAGTTGCTGTGAGGACCAGAAATGATTTCCAGGATCTTATATGAGGCCGCAGCAATGAAGATGTCCAGGGGTGCCAAGATGACGGAACATGAATAGTCTCCCAGGGTGGGGTATTATGCAGGCCCTACTCTTCTAACTCTCTGCAGAGCTATCTGCAAGAAACTCAGGATGGCCAGGTGTGCTGTTGCATGTCTATAATCCTAGCAGTCAGGAGGTGGAGGCAGGATGATTACAATTTCAAGGTTACCCTCAGCTACACTGTTAGTGCAAGGCCAACACAAAGAATGAGATTCTATCTTATCTAGTAATGATGTTTTATTTTGCAAAATCAAACGAAGCAAAGATCTCAGCATTTTCCTAGTTCAAGTCAATGTGAAATCTTATTTCTCAGAGAATGTATAATATGCACTAAAAGTAAATGCTAGCTACCTTTAAGGATCTTTTTACATCTATAGAATAATTTTAACTATAACCAAGAAAAGTTGGTGATGCCAGCAGGCATATGGCATCTCTCTTCCAAACTGTTCCTAAGAGATGGCTAGCCGACTTATGCAAAAACAATCAGGGACTCAACTCCAGTTCATCTTAGGCAAGTCACTGTGTGATATTCAGTTTCCTCATGAGTAAAAACGGAAATGAACCTAGTGTTCTACTAGTATTCCTTTTTCCTGCCAGACAGCATGTGCTGGCAATTGCGGCACCTTTGCTTGTCTTCTGCTTTTAAATTTAGCACCAGGCCAAGGTGGTTACATAAAGAAAACCAAATTCATCAAGGTGTCTCAAACTCTGCCAGGTACTTGGCAGGCTATGGCACCCAGAGTAGACACTTCTTCCACCATTTTAGTAGGGCCTGAGACTGTAGGCATGGGATAGGACTGCAAGACATGACTTTAAAAGATGCTTTTAAAAGGCAAAAGTGGCCTTATGTGTATAGTGTTAAATCAGATGCAGCTCCCATCAGACCTGTGTGCCCAGAAATAGCTTTGCAGACAAAGTCCTGTGGTCGCCCAGATTCCACATGGAACTCCAACTCAGACCGGCATAAATAGTACTGTTTCCATGTCTGTGTGCCCAGGACCACTTGTGTAAAGTGTTAAATCAATTAACCAGTATTTGGAAGAAATCATGTGCTTGTTTTATATTGGTTAATAAACCAAGATGGTAACCAGTTGCTGTAGGCAGTTTCATCAGGTGTTCTCTATTTTCTTTCCAGGATGTGTCAGGAACAAGTCCTAATGGATGGCATATTTCTAAACTGTCATATGGTAAGTTCTCAAGGTCAGAAAGTTTCAGCAACAAATACAAAGGAAAAAGAAATAGACCCCAAGAAGTATTATAGTACAGCAAAGAGAAAACATTAAAGTGCCCAAGGAATATGGTCAAACTACAGCAGCATTAAAAACAAAAAATGGCAGACTAGGGAAGTGGCTGACTGTCAGAGTGTTTGGCTAGCATGCATGAAATCCAGGTTGAGTCCCCAGCACTACATAAACAGGGTGTGGTTGCACATGCCTATAATTCTAAGCACTCAGAGGTAGAGGCTAGAGGATCAGTTCAAAGCCATTCTAGGTTCCAAATGAGTTTGAGGCTGGTGTAGAGTACCAGAGACCTTGGTTTGCATAACCTCTAATACATATATACATAAACAAGCCAAGGTGCCCATCAGCCCTAAATAATGTAAATGCTGGTGCCCAGGCAGAGGCAAATGCATTTTTCTCCTTGAGATGGTCTGAAAACTGATAGAAGCCTAATGTGATGGGGGGGGGGGGTATTATTCAGTAGTAACGTGCTTGCCTAGCATACTCAAAGGCTCTAGGTTCAATCTCCAGTACCACAAAAAAAAAAAAAAAAAAAAAAAAAACTGATCCATTATCTAAGTATTTGAAGTCTAGGATCTTCTGCTTTGCTGGCAAACACTGACTTCAGTCTTCACTAAAAAGTGGCATGCCTGCAGCTTAGGTGGTTTTGGTAAAAGCTAGCAATGACTGGAATGAACATTACTGGTATCTCCTTGTGCAAATCTTTTTTTAAAAAAACTGGAACGATCTGAAACAGAATTAAAAGTGTTTTGCTCAAGTAAGAACAGTCTTAATCCTTTAACACTTATTTACTGAAAGAACACCAAAATTCAAGACATACACTGGGCACTCGAGATAGGTATTAAAGAGGGCCTTGACTGTCTTTTCCATCTCAGTTTAGTAATGACTCCCTTCGGGAA